GGCTGTAGCGAGGTTATTACCCAAGAGTTTCCCAGTATTATTACAGAAGGGAGAACAGATAATTAACAGGTATGACATCCTAGCAAAAGCAGTAAAATTAGAAGTAACAATAGCATCAAGCACAGTTTAGAAACTGGTGGTAACTATTGACTTTGTGATTTGGACCATAGGAGCAGAGCCTATAGTTCTATAACTAAACTGATTATAATCAGGATTTTGTATGCAACATATTTCCCCATGGTAGAGTGGGGAAATATAGGTATAAAAGTGCATAAAACAAAGATAACTGAAAAGGAAGTAGAAACAACACTGCAGCACAGAGGATGATTGTACAAGGTTTGGTAAACTGAAGAAGGGAGCAAGAAAAAAGAACAAAGGAGTATTTGAAGGATTATCTGAAATTGGTCTCTGAGTTTGGGGGATGGGATTAGTTTTCTGTGGCTGGAGTTCTCCCCACTCGTTTATAAAAGAGAGGAGCAAAGAAAAAATAAATAAATAGATTGAAAAAAGAGAATGGGAAGAAAAAGACTAAAAAGAAAAATAAGAGAAAAAAATTAAGAATACGTGGCCAGTTACAGAGTCCTGGGTTCTTCCCATGCCGTTAGTCCTGCAAAAGCCTCAGTCACCTGTTGGCTCATATTGTTATTGTTGCTTTGGACTTTTCACATCATTAATCTCACCTGTTCATCGTACACCTTAGTTGAGACCCTATTTTGTCATGGGCATGTTTTCTGATCTCTGGGCCTTTCCACGCAATTCACTTCAGTTATAGCAACAGTGAGGAGAGGGGCCTGTTTGGGCTCTCTAGCATGGTTCAGCTGGAAAATGGAGATGGAGATGGTGGTGGGAGGGACTGCTCTGTCCATCTGGTTTCAAAATTGTATTATTTAACTTGATATTAAAGATGATAAAGCTGAGGATATTGCTCAGTGACAGAGCATCAGCCTGGCAAGTGCAACGTTCTGAGCTCAATTGCCAGTACCAAAAAGATGACAAAAATGTACCAAATATTTGTAAGCAATGAAATCATAGAATCAGTCTGGAGTTTAGAAATACATAAATATAATGGTTCAGTATACCTTTCAAAGACATAATATTTGCATTCAAAGTCAAACCTGGAAATACTTATACACACCAGAATGAGTGATACAAAATAATATTGAACAGAATAAGATCCACTATGGAAGTAGAAATCTGGCCAAGTTTAGAAGATGTTAGAGTTTGGAGCAACAGGATTTGCCGTGTGTCTGTGAGGAAAGTGGACAGATTAAAGCTTTTGGGATTGGATGATGCAATATAGTAAAATAAAATTTAAAACATGGGTATAAATTCTAGGAAGAGAATTTTGTGTTCAATTCAGCCATGTCAAGACTGAACATAAGTGGGATATATGATAGTTTTAGAAGTAGGTTGATTTTATTTATATCAAGATCAAAAAATCTGGGTGCTAAGTTTCCTTCATAGTAATCAATGTGGCATTTAACACTACACTATATGATCCCCCAAACAGAGCTAAGTCACAAGGGAGAGAGTCTTATTGTAAAAGTCTGCATCATTACATGTGTCAGGCCTTCCCTAGAAATTTAGGAAATCGCTATGACAGGAAGCACATTTGCACATAAATATCATCTTTCAGGATACTTGCTTCATAAAAGAGTTTGCTGGATCCATGTTTTTCTGACTGTGAAATACAGAATAGTTTTGAGCTTTGTCAAGGGGAAAATCTTAGTCTTTCTAATGGGACTTGCATTGGAAGGAGCCTCTCTGTGTTATGAATGATATGTGCAGTTTGGGAGAGGTACTAAGAATAAATTTATACATGTTATTCTCTTCCACTTAGTCCTAAAAATTCCAGAGGCAATAACATCTTTAGGTTTGAGAAACTTATTAGACCTCGCAGGCTATAATACTATGTGTTACCTGCAGTGGGTGGCCAAGGGTCTCTCCATCTGCACTGGTGGGCTCCTCTCAAGGGTTCAGGCTATCATCATTAGTTCCAGAGACTCTGTGTGGAGGAAATTCAAGCCCAGGTCTTCATGGCACGTTGTTTCTCTCTTTTTTAACTTTATTCCACTCCATCACAAATAGCACTGTGAACTCATTGCAAGTTAGGGAATGCAACAACTATTGCAGCTTTATAACATAAACTAAGGAAACAAAGTAAATTCTTCTCACTCCATTAATCTTACTCAATGCCCTTTTCAGAGTTTTATGGGTGAGACTAGTGCCATATCATTCTTCACAAGGTCCATCAACATGTTCTCTATCAGCACAACTCCAAGTTCCTGCATAAAACCCCTTCTGAAATGAAAGCTACTCCACGCATTCTCCTTCTGATGTCTTGTCCTCTTTTGTTGAACTAGTGTTTCTATATTTGAAATTTAGACAATTTTATAATAATAAAGTGGAGAATTTCTGGCCTTTGATTCTATAATTTTATGCCCATTTCTTTTGATTCACTGAGATGAATATCTGGCTTAATGATAGCAGGCTCAGAGACATTAGGAAAACACCTAGTTTACTTATCTTTCAAGAAAGTAAGTTTGAAAGAATTCTTCATTCTCTAATGATGTGTGCAAAGCAAAATCAATCATATCAAAGCACCTTAATCATGCAAAGGTTCATTCTCAGCAACCCCATTATCCGCACCCCTGAGTTCACACACAAAGCATAGAAAACAGAAGAGATACAGAATTCTCATTCTCCACTCTGCCACCTTAAAGAAATGGCTTCAGTTCTACTCCTTGTAAATCTATTCTTTCACCTGCAGCATTTCCATAACAGACATAAGGGCAATACCCCTGCATATCACAAATGACCAGCCCCAGGTGATAGATGAGAAACTGGGTCTCAAAAGAACCCAAAATGTGTTCAAAATCCTGTATAGAGGCATGGGGAAAGCCAGAGTTTAAGCCCAGAGGTGCTGATTGGAATTCCTTCCTTTGAATGCTGAACTTTATGCTTCTCGAAGTTAATGATACTCCTCAAGCATTTGTGATACACATAATTACCCAACTTTTACTACCTTAAACTGTAATGACTTTATTCATTGACAGCATTTTGTTGGTCTCTCATGCTGGAGATAAGAAATTGTGGAAGTTTAATAAAATATACACATAGACGTCTCTTCCAGTCTAGGTTTAATTCTTTTCAGGAAAGAAAAGACTGATTTCTTTATCTAAAATCTGTTGCTGTCTCAGAGAACAGAGTAGTTTGCCTAAAAATAATCAATTTCATCAGGTCAATACAGATATATAGCAAGTGAAATTTAACCAGAATTTATAATTCTGTTTATCTTTTGATCACAACCATTAGCATACATCAAACAAACAAGCAGTGGATTCCATGACACACTTGATCATACCACTTTTCTACTTCACTCTCATGCCCCTCCCCTCCTTCTTTTTCATCCCTAACACCTTTGCTTTTACTTTCAGTTTGTGCTTTATTTCTACTAGATTCCATGCAAGAAAAAAATGCCATAGTTTTCTTTGTAATTCTGATTTATTTTGTTTATTATAATTATATTTTATCTCTCCCATTTTTCCTGTAAGTAACTTATTTTTGTTCTTTATGGCTGTAATTGTTGATACAGTGTCAATTTAAGAAATTTAGAAGTTTAACTAAGTGATTCAGCAGGGAGCCAGGGTCTTCACTTTGTAAACATCCTCATCTTGTGCAAGAGGAAGACACAGAGATGGAGTGAATGCTACACCTGCTCTAGAGGGTAGTAGCTTGCTTACAATATAAGTGTCATTCCACCTTGCTTTGGAGCCAGCTGATTCTGAACTTCAACCTCCACAAACTGTGAGCTAAAGAATCCTTCCATTCCGTAATTTTGGGTATCACTGGTATTTTACCTCACTAACAAGAAAAAAATAACCAATACAGAACTTGGTACTAGGAGTGGGGTAATTGCTGTGATCATGGTTCAAGAGCCTTTGAGAATGGCTTGTGGAAAGAATTTTAAAAGGCTCATAGATGTCACCTGAAGAAGGACAGCTGGGATGCCTTACACTGTTCTGTATGAGATATTCTAGTCATAGCTCATAAAACCAGTAAAAGCAGGTTTGAGAAGTTTTGGCTGGGAAGAAGTATTGCATTGACTGCTGGACTCCAGAACATTTATGATATAACTTAGCAGAATGTTGCTCTGCATTTTGCTTGTGTTGAGAGACTCTGCTAAGACTGATATTAAGGGAAGTGTACTAATTAATCTGGCAGAAGAAATTTCAAGGCAGTAGAATGTTGAGGCAGTGGTATGGCTATTGTCAGGGGTTTTTAGCCAGATTTGTGTAGTAACTGAAGAGCAAGAGTCTAAGAGAATGATCTAAAATGTTCGGACTTTGGCCAGAAAGGACACTTCAGTAAAACTGAACTACAAAAAGAGAATGAGGAGAACTCATTTTCTGAGAAGGAACAGAGCAATATAAAAGATGGCTGAGGATATCACAAGAAGCAGCAAGTCTCCACTCTTTGCAGACTCAAAACTGCAAAAGTGAAATACTTTGCTTTGAGGAGAAAGTCATGGAACATCATGTTCCAGAATGGTAGAAGCATGCAGATGGTAGCATAGATTGGTGGAAGCTGTGAGGGTAAAGCCAAAGGTGCAGTGGAGACTTTAGAAATTTGGAAAAATCTGGAATGTAGAACACCTAAGGATGTATGAGGTGGTAAAGAGGATCTGGGTGGACCGTAAGTAAAATCTACGACAGGGAGATTATTTATCATACTTACTCCCATGGTCTAAAAATTTAGATTGCCTTTCTTGTATTTATTTCTTAGGCCTAACAAATTTCTACACATGACCAATGCTAGAAAGGATCTTTTGGAAAGGCAGGTGGATAAAACAGTTTAGAATTTATATATATATATATATATATATATATATATATATATATATATTCAGAACTTTCTCTGTTCTTTAAAACAAACAGATGTGTCATCTTTACTTATTTGGTCTCTCAAAATCATTTTTCTAGTTGTGCCCATGAAGTCAGATGATTTGGAGTAGCTACATCAAGTCAGCAATCGCTCTTCCCCTTTTGGGACCAGGAATCATAGTCAGCACTCTTATATTTGTGAGATATGTGTATACTTTTGTCAAAGTACCTGAGAAAAGACCTATAAATTCCATTCTTATACACTTGGTTTTCTCAAACGTGGTCATAATTTCTGTTGGAGGTATTGGAATCATTTCAACAGTTTTTTGTTTCAGAAACTTCCCAGGTAATGTAGGATCTAAAACTATGGTTTACCTGGGGCGGGTGGCACGGGGCCTCTCCATCTGTACCACCTGTCTCCTCAGCATGGTCCAGGCCATTACCATCAGTCCCAGGAACAGCCTGTGCAGAAAGCTCAAGCCGCAGACTGCATGGCAAGTTCTTCCCCATGTTCTCCTCTTTTGGGTTTGTAATTTTTTGATAAGTTCCAACTTGCTTTACTATGTCACAATAATCAATAGCACTAATTGTTCTGGAATTGGAATGTATATTAGCAAGTGCTACATGCTACCATCTCAGCAGATGGTTAGGTGGCTTTTTCTTTCTCTCATGACTCTTCGAGATATTACCTTCCAGAGTCTCATGAGCTGGAGCAGTGTGGATATGGCCGTCCATCTGCACAAACATCACAAGCGTGTCTTTTACCTGCATAGCTCCAAGTTTAGAAACAATTCCAGCCCAGAAATCACAGCTATCCAAAATACTCTCATTCTCATGACCTGTTTCCTTTTCTTTTATTGGGCAGATTTCATTTTCTCCTTCTATATAGGGTCAATCACAACACCTCATACAACAATAGTAAATATTAAATTGTTTCTAGAACTTGGTTTTGCCATTCTCAGCCCATACGTGCTGATTAGCAGGGATATCCACGTGGTTAATTGCTGGCATTGTCACTGAAAGTTTGGAAAACTAATTCTTTTATTAATTCATACAGTGGGTAAATTTACAGCATTTGGTTGTATTTTTACCAATCAAAATTCATTGAATATAAATTATCAGAGTCATGAAAGAAGGATAAAAGTATGAGTCCTTAGGGGAAAAAAACACCAAGAAAATATTCAGTCTTATTCAAGTAAATGCTGTGAAAGCCAAGAACACTCAGAGAGTTTGGACCACTGTGCAAGTGGTCCTGAGTAGTGACTGTAGGTTGAGAGAAATAAGAATTTCTAGAGCCAAATTTATCCATCAGAGGATGCTCAGGAATTTGTCCATTTTAGCATCTCAGCTGCAAAGTTGTCTGGAAACGGTTTGGCATGAACACAGTAACAACTTTCAGAACATAACTACTTAGACCCTGCTCACATCCATTGGGCATTTTGCAATATAAAATCATAGCTATTATTATGGTCTTACCACTATGCTATTTATTTCCTGTAAAAAGAAGACTTTCACTATAGAGTCTAAATCTGGCTCAGAATCTTTAACAAACCTGGAAAGTATTTTCTTCTCATGCTTCTTTTCATTGTTGCTCTACTAGGCCATTTGTCTCTGTGTTTGCATGGTTAGTGAGCTATGTGCCTTCTGAATAGGGCGTAGGAACAAGAAGGACATCAGTAGGAAGAAGAATCGTAGATGTTAGAGAAAGAGAAAACTATTCAAGGAAAAATTGTGCTCTTTAAAACTTTGCTCTCTTTGAAATTGCCTCACCCTGTAGCTGCTTCATAGCTTCGTAATTATTTCTTGACCCCAGTAACAACAGGAGTGTAACTGAACATGCAGGATGCCCGATTGTACCAAGGTTTGTGTTGCTAATCCAGTCCTGTATCTGATGACCATTAGACTGGCCCTGTAACCGATGATCTCACCCTGCCAGCTAATCAACAGGACTGCCACGCTGTTCTGTCCTGTCTTTGTACCACCTCTGTAATTCCTGTTTATGCTTCATATAAAAATGCTGACTCACAAGGACTTGACGCCTGGCTTTTGTTGAAAATTATTCCAGCCGGTACCACTGGTGTTAAATAAATCTGTTCACTGCCTCTTGACTTCCTCAGACTCGGTTTTGCCACATTAGGAAAAGAAAACTGTCATAAATTTCAAATACACATTTGAGACATTTTCTCTGGCAAAACAATATGATTTGATTGTACTTTCTCACTTGTCCATGCATAGTCAACACCAAGGTGTTTCACCCGTAGTCAAGTGGTGCAAGGACGGTGGCCTGAGTCACTGAGAGATGACATGGGACTGCAGAAATTTATTCATAAGAAAGAGCAGGAAGATCTGGAGAGACTGCAAGGTAGTAACAGAGGAGGGCTCTGTGGTGATGGGCTGGACACAAGATCTGACGGCAGTGGACCAGAGAGAAAAGCACTGGGAGGGCAGTGGCATGAGCTGGACTGAAGACAGCCAAAAGGGACTCACATTATTTGGTGGCAGCTGGCTGCTCTCCACAGGGCTATGCTCCCCACACAGTCACTGAAGAACGGGTCTCACAGATTTAATTACCTAAGTGGTGATCTCAGTAGCTTGCACATCCCATTGTTGGCCAATAGTCAGAAGACAGCAATGTGTCTCCCCAGGCCCTGGGGTCCTTCAGGCAACACTGACCCGCACAGCTTCCCGCAGGCATGTTCTGTCTCCTGCAAATGGCAAGAGTCACGTGAACACAAGAGAGGCATTTGAAGTCCATGGTGGAAACGGCCTTAGTTTTTCCTGGGATGATACCATGTGTCAGCTAAAAACTGTGTTGCCTGCATCAATCACAATCTGTATTTTAGTCTGAAAGAACAAAGAATAACAAAACAGACGTAGGTCAGTCCACAAGCTACAGTCACTGAGCTGGATCTGTGGGAGGCACGTGGGTGTTTCCCAGGTGTTAAAACCAACGGGAGCAGACGCATCTGGAGGTGGGAGGAACGGTGACACTGAGAAGGGCAGCAGTTAGGTCTGACCACCTTCGGTCCTGAAATGGCACGAGTTTGACCGATGAAGCTTTTTCCTCTGGGAACTATTCGATAAAATAAAGATGAATTATTCATTTCCCTAAATCAACTGGCAAAATTTCACTACAAACGACATGCGGCTTGGGGTGGGGTGCTCTAGAGATGACGGGGGTTTGGCATGGCAGGGGACAGTCATCAGCTAAGTGCAGTAGTTGTGAACTTGCAGTAAGATTAGGAATGTGTACTCACTTTTACTCAATGAGTTTTTTAGAGAAATAAATCCTATACTCATAATTCTTTGTTTGAAAAAATGTTGAGTGTCCCAGTGTGCACTGTGCATAGTTTGTCACGTAAAGCCTGGAAACAACACACTTGTCTGTCACTAAGAAGCCCTGCTGAACACCCTGGGATACGGCAAGCAACAGAGTACCGCGCAGTGAGAAAGTGTGAAGTCCTCAGCGTGCCGATGTGGAGAGATATAGACATCGGTATCACCACGGGGAAAGGCAAGGGGCATGAGCGTTTACATATCTGGCATTATTTACACAAAAAAAGAAAAATGTGAATGCCCACATTCTACAAGAGAAAATTTGTGAGTCATAGTGCTAGAGCTAAACTGGGTTCTGGGAAAATTAGGGGAGAATTTTTTCATTTTACCAAAGATCAATTTAGATTTTAGGAACAGTCAAATGAATGGCCTACTAAAATATTAAATAACTTCAGTTTATAAAATTGTACCATACATCAAGAGCTATGCTAAGGAGCCGGGCGTGGTGGCACATGCCTGTAATCCCAGCACAAGGGAGGCTGAGGCAGGATCATTGCAAGTTTGAGACTAGCCTGGGCTACAAAGTGAGCTCAAAGCTATTCTGAACTGCACAGAGATCCTGTCTCAGAAAGACAAAAAAGAAAAAAGGAAAAAGAACTACCCTAAATACATTCTAAATTATAGATCACATGAATTAATTGCTCAAAAAAAAAACCTTTCCCCAAAATATTAAAAGAGAAATTATAAAATCAAAATCTTACAATCACTAAATAAATTATATATATAAATGCAAACGTTGATGCAAAATAGAATTCCATCACCAAAAGAATTTACTGACAAATTCTTTGAAACACGTATTTAAGAAGAAATATCTGTCTTATATGAACACTTCAAAATGTGTTCATTAAACACTGCAGAAAGAACACCTCTAACCTCATTTATAAAAACCAGAATAAGTTTGATTTTAGAATTCTTTACTAGATTATTATGGTAAAGCAAATCCTTCAGAGTTAGGATGAGCAGAAGTTGAGAGAATTCCTGATTACTAAACTTCTGCTGCAAAAGACATCTAAAAGAAACTTACACACAGAAGGGGAAGAGGAAACTAGCAAATGAGAACTAGAAAGGCATCAAACATTAAGAAAAAACAAAATGAACGCAACTTGGATGTACATTTACATAGTAGCATGGAGATAAATGGTCTTCATTTTCCAATCAGAAGCCTCAGATTGGAAAATGACTGAAGAATCAAAAAGAAGACCTAATCTTGTTGCATTTGCAACAAAGACATTTCACTGGCAAAGAAATACATACCCGGAAAGTGAAAGCATAGGGAATGATATTCCACACCACTGCAGTCTGAAAGCAATCCTGAATAGCTACACTCATGCCTGAAAAAGGTGATTTTAACCCAAAATAAGTCAGAAGAGACACAGACAAAGAAACCAGCTCAGCAGAACGTACAACAACTGTGAACAGGTATGCAGCAAATAGCAACATACAAAATTTCATTTAAAAAAACAATTCAACGTTAAGGAACAGGTGGGCCCCGAAACAACAATAATGGGTTAATTCAATACTCTGTGCTCATAAATATGTGACCCAGACCAAAAATTCAACAGAGAATCATACCATTACACTACACTTCAGAGCAAATAGGTTCTGCACACATTTATGGAGTGGTCTATTCCATGTCTTTCAGAATATCTTCAAACGTTCTCAAACACATCACGGCTTAGGCCACTGTCTCACTTTTCTTATTGCTCAGACAAAAATACCCAACATCCAAACACCAAACGAGGAGGAGAGCTTTATTGTAGCTCGGAGTCTGCAGCTTCAGTAAAGGTTTCAGTCCACACTTGGCTGACTCTGAAGCAGGGTGGTGGGGGAGCGTGGAGAGGAGACAGTCCATGGCAGGGCAGGCAGAAAGCAAGAGCAGGAGGCAGGAAGTAGCAGAGCTGCCGCTCTCTTTCTGCTGATGAGGCTGCAAACTTTTGAGTGATGCCACCCACACCCAGGGTGTGACTTCAGTTGTCAGTAAATCCATTCAGCCACACCGAGAACTAAGTAAGCAGAGGGTGAGCCCAGAAATGGGCGCAATGAGTGACAGAAAAAAAACAGAGGCACCATGTAAATATGTTAAAGAATCTGAAGCCACCGGGCTGCACAGGTGTTTACTCTGGAGTGCGGGGAAGACAGACAGATTAAGCAGCAGCACCAGGCGCTCGGAATAGGATGAGGGGAATCTTACACAATGAAAAGCACAGAGAAGGTTCTGCTTAGGGAAATTCTGAGCTCATTTCAGCAGCACTGTGAGTAAACTGTAGAGGGATATACAGGGATTTAAGCTAGTAGACTTGTTTGGTTGTTTTGGTGCTTCAAAAACTGGGTTAATTTTTTTTTTGAGGAATGTGATCATTAATACTATAAACGTGTACTAATAATAAAATAAAACTTGAAAAAAATCTAGATTGAGAATTTGGTTTTAAACTAGAGTCCCAGAGATGACATTTAAGACCACATAGAATAATACATAGTAAGTGCAACAGTAAAGGAATAAAGTCTTTGGACACTGCTCTTGACATTCCAGAAAACAACCACAATACAAAAAATTTTCTCAGATATATACTGTCATTGTATGCAATTTCTTCAACAAGTACTTGCTGAATCCAAATTTTTCTTCCTAAGAAGTAGGAGGTGGAGTTAAACCTTGTCAAGAGAACGATCTTCCTCTTTCTCACTGG